GCCCCTTCACCTGAAAAATATGAGAGGTTCTACAAAACCCTGGCAGGGTCTATGGGTCTCCCGAACAATGGCTCGGCGCAAATATTTGATTCTGAGTCAGAGTTTATAAATCTAGGGTGAAAGGTTGCAACCAGGGTTGAAACTAGTTGCAAGATGTCTATGGCTAATATGTTCATGGCACCGTGCCAGAGGTGGTGATTTCAGGAATCTAAGCGTTCATCAATTCGTCGACACGCACTGTTCTACCTACATGTTGAGGTACTCTTCCACCTCACCTCAACGATATCAAGTGAGCCAAGTCGGTGCTTGCTTACGGTGAGTTGTACCCCTAGAATCGCGCGAAGCATCCTGAGGGTGGGAGCTGTGAGTGAGAGGTGTGAGCTTCTTTGGAAACTCTCTTGCATGGCTAACTCCAAACAACACTTCGTTGGATCACATACCCTTCTTATGGATGGAGAACGTCTCGTCCGGTATGCCCAAAAAGTACATCCCTGGCAGGCTAAAATCAGGATCAGAAACGGATCAGGATCAGAACAGGGACATGCATCAGGTACCACATCACTGCTTTGCTGATGTGGTTCCTTGTAGTGGGGAAACCAATCCCCCAAAAAGATCAAAAAAGCTTATATAAAGGTTATCCGCTGATGGGGTAGGAGAACGTCACATCCATTCACATTCTACTCATCTGCCCACCCAACTGCACGTGTTGCCACCCTTGGTGCGACCTCAACAACCTCGGGCTTCGGCTTCACATCACCTGCAGGCAGCGAAGCACTGTGTTGGCTGAAGGATGCTGAAAGTATGGAGACAAAGACCCCCCTGCAGCGCCTGGAGGAAGGAAAAGGAGATGAAACTTACGAACCTCAAAATGGAGATCCAGCAAACCTATTGACCTATTGGAGCAGTCTTTGGTGCTGTAGACTGCCAAACGCAAACCGGCAAAGCGCAAACCCATTAGTTTCGGGGGGTACAAAGGCTGGAAATCATCGGATTCGGTGAATCCGGTCAAAAGCGGAAACATCAAGCCTTGGAACCCAAGAGCAAGTCCCCAAGCCCTGGAAAAAGAGTCGACTCAGTCCTGCTGGTTTTGTTCTGCATCCTGTGGCAAACGGGAAAAAGATGGACAACCAACATCAACCAACCCATTGTTTTGTGCAGTCGCCCCCCCTTGAGCCCAAACCCATTTGGTTTGTGCCAACTCTCCTTTTGCGGCACACGGAGGCTGACTGCTCTTTGGTCTGAACTCGTGCCCGCCATCGACAGTCACGTCTGGACTCAAGAAGCTTCTCGTTGATCGGCCGTCACCGGCTTCACTGTGCCACAGATCGGAAACTCGCGGATGTGAGCCTAAGTTGGGCCCAAATTGATTGGCCACATGTCGATGACTCTTCTTCCAGCAAAGCTTTGTCGTGTGTACTTTGGACATCTCTCAGACCCATACAGAACCTTCCGCACCAATTTCGCCGTGGTGACGACGCTAAGGGACGGGCTCTCGCTGCTGACTCTGCATCAATCGTGGTTTTTCTGACGAAGCCACGGAGGTAGACCGATGGCAAATGCAAGTGTCCAAACCAAACCACAGGAAAAAAAAAACAAAGATTCCTCTGCCATCTTGGAAATGCTCACTATATAGGGTCTATAAAGGTTCAAGCTGGTTCAAGCACACAAGCATCTAGCGACCCTTAAGGATCGAACATTGTGATTTTCTCCCTAAGAATTGTATGTGAAACCATGTGAAACCGTTTGTGGTTTTCTCCTATAACCGGGGTACAGTACGCCACCGTCGGAAACGGAACGCGTACGGCACTCCTTGCGACCCGAGAAGCGGTCCAAATCGCGGTCAAGAGCATGGCAATCGCCACCTCCTTGGAGCTCTGCGCCACGCTACTAGGAGCAAAGGGCATCGCTACTAGGAGCAAAGAAGCTACTAGGGGCTCCTGGCCGTACTACTAGTAATGTTGGATGCTGATTAGTAAATGGGCCCTCTATAATGCTAAATTTTTCCAAAATTATTCCAGACCCCATGTTTGAAAAATGGTTCCTGAATAATGCTAACTTTTTTGGGGGCCCTAAATTTTCAATTTGGAAACCCAATTAATAAGGGTTTGAATTCCTTCTGAGGCCAATGATTATGATTCATTAGCTGATATAGCTTTCTCTAGGTTTCTTCAAAACTGACAGCTGACCAAAACCACCAATTCCCCAATTAAACCCTTTATAAAACATTGCTCCTAAACAAATTTTCAAGGTAGTAGAC